ATATATAATAAACAGCCTATAGTATTTTACAGTCTTTATTTTACAGTTAAAACCTATGTTTATTAAATAAAGTCTAATGTTACAACTAATCATGGATCCCTTTTAAGATGAGGTAGAAAATTATCACTTTTGCTAACTCTAAAAAGGTTTGTAACTGAAACTTCTGTTCCCAGATCTTCTTCTCCTGAGTTCTGTCCACGGATTGCTGCTCAGGGTGGTCCTGATCCAGCGCATGCWGTGGACTCGGCAAGTTATTTCCTGGATATCAACAGCGATGGAGATGTAATTACTCGGGCACTAGATGAGCTAGACCTGAGCAAAAGCGTAGAGCTGGTCAGCGCGGGAGGGTGTAATGGTGACCGTAACCGGTCCCAGCTCGCCTGTGATACGGCTGAACTCCTAAAAGCACCCTTCCTTTATGTGTCGGAGTCTGACCACGAGCCGTCTGAGCTGCCGCACCCTTCTGCGGAGGCGCAGAACGGTTCAGCTCAGGAGCAGGATCAGTGGGCTGCTCTTTCTGTTATTCACAAAGCTAAGAGCCAGGAGAGCTCGGAACAAGTGAATACTGGTCTGCAGCCACTAGCAGACATGCCTGCCACATCAACGCCGAAGAAGCAGAAGGTGAAAGAATGCAGCCCGTCCACGGAAACTAATCAAATATTGGAAGGACGARTTGAAGGAAGTGGCTACCACAGGGACGGCACAAGAGTAGGTGGGTATTAAAGTGCTTATTGTTGGTCTGTTGTTTTTAATGAAAACCAAAAATGCTAAAACAAAACTTGCTTTTTCCGCCCCCCTCTCTAGAGGTGCAGTGTGATGTGTGCAGGGTTGACCTCTCTGATGGAGGTTCTATGTTCTGCGTGTGGATTAAAAGGTGTGGCCAGCAGGGGGCGGTGTTGCAAACAGATCCTTCACTTCATAACCAATCAGGAGCCAGTCCAGGAAAGGTCTGTGGCAAATAAGATCAAGTTCATTGTGACTTTTTTTTTTAAATAAAACAAATACTGTGTGTTTTTAATTTTTTTTTTTTTACTTTGTTGTAGTTTAACTGATTTTCTTTTTGTTTATTTCTAATATCAGAGGGTTGGTGAGAGCAGTCAAGGAGGAGCATTGCGCTCTACTATGGACCTCGAGCATTCTCGAGCCTGTGACGGGCAGTTTGAAGAAGACTACAAACCACTCAAAGCTGTGGGTAAAGGAGCCTTTGGTTTTGTCTGGAAGGCAATACGACGCTGTGACGGACATGAAGTAAGGCACTTTTATTTTCTTTATGCCAAATGATGACATTTATATTTTTAGTTGTACATTTTATTAAGAAAATAAGATGGTGATGATTCGGCAACTCTAAAAATCTGCAGGTAATAGTGAAGTTCATTAGCAAGGCCAGGATAGTGAGTGACTGCTGGGTGGACGACCCCATGTTGGGCAGAGTGAGCCAAGAGATTGCCATCCTGACACGAGTGCAGCACCATAATATTGTCAAGGTAACTTAAATCACAAGATTTTAAAATCTTTTGTTCATGATGTAAAATTCCTTATTCTTCATGATATAATAGTATACATGTTTACCAATGTTTATATTCCACCAGGTGCTGGAGGTGTTTGAAAATGGAAGTTAYTTCCAGATGGTGATGGAGAAGCATGGAGATGGTTTGGACCTTTTTGAATTCATTGACATGGAACCAAGGCTGGATGAGCCCCTGGCCAGTTATATCTTTAGACAGGTATGTGTTGTGTTAAAAAAAGAAGAAAGAAAGAAAGACAGATGATTGAGGAAAGGGGCTCTGGAGCTAACCAGAGGCTCTGTTCTGTTTCAGATTGTGGCAGCTGTGTTCTACCTGAGGAGCAAGAACATCATCCACAGGGACATAAAGGATGAGAACATCATCGTCGACAAGTGTTTTCACATTCGGCTGATAGATTTCGGCTCGGCTGCCATATTGGCTCCTGGAAAACTCTTTTATAACTTCTGTGGCACATTGGAGTACTGCTCCCCAGAGGTGCTTCAGGGAAATCCGTGAGTATTTAATGCCTGTTTTATGGACAGCTTAAGTTAAACCAGAGCTTTCCAACAGGCAAGCTGAATAAAGCCACAAGGATTTTTTTTGTCAAAAGCAACAGTGTAAACAAATAAAGACATAAAGACCAAGCCAGTGATCTTGGCAAAAACAATTTAAAATGGCAACAAAATTGACTTTACAACTTACTTCATTCCCAGGTTGTACTAAAAAAACTGCAAACCAGTTTATCCCTGTAGCTGTAGGTTTCTGTAATCTGAGGACATTTACAAACTTGAGTAGTAGCTCTAATTTGTCTGTATTAAACAGAGACCCCAGGTGGTCAATGAGAGGCTGTGACAGAACAAAATAGAGGATCATTTTCAGGTTTTATCTCATTTTAAAAATCTCGTTAAGATTGTAGATAATAGTATTAGAATGTATTAAAGGCTACCAGGCTGAATTACTGTCACTGTCTTGTTTTTCCCCTACACCATGTTAACTTCATATTCTAAGGTCTGGGTCAAAATGAGTCAGAAGTGGACATRTATTTGGTTAATTAGCAATTATTTATAACCTAAAATAGCTTAATAATAGACAAAATGATATGACATTAATATTAATCCAAAGGAAAGTTAGAAAAGCTGTTCACAAACACTAAAACTGCCTTCCCACTTACATCTGTAGATTTATTTTGCTTGTTTTGTGGCTTTTTAAATTTTCTAGCTACAAAGGTCCAGAATTGGAAATGTGGTCTCTTGGAGTTTTGCTCTACACTCTCCTGTTCAGTGAGAATCCTTTCTGTGATGTGGGTGAAATTCTGGATGCCAAACTAAAGCCTCCGTTCCCCTTGTCTCCAGGTATGATGTTTTGTTTGCTACTTCCTGGTTGTTYGTTCCGTTTGCAATTCAGTCTTGTAAATTTTCTGTGTGCTTTCTCCCAAGAGTTGCATAGGTTGTTGTGTGGTCTTCTGCACCCCGTTTCCACAAAGAGGATGACCTTAGACCAGCTGTTGTTGCAGTCCTGGATCAGCCAGCCCATTTCTCTTGCAGAATACAGCTGGTTGGATGTGGTTCCTGCGACTCAGAGCTTCTGTGAGTTTCCTTCAGCACCACAGATGAACCGACGATGTCCTGACATGTTTTAATATACCGAGGGGCCTCTCTTCTTCTAACAGGTTCATCACACCACCAGGAATCCAGTTCTAATGGGTACATCGGACCAGATTTGTTCTCAGATCAAGGAGATGAATCTCTCCCTGAAGATGAAGAGGATGATGATGAGGAGGAGGAGGAGGAGAGTTTGGCTTTGCAAAATGAGCTTCAGAAATGCCTCCAGAGGATTGACGATTCGATTTGAAAAGACTGAAGTTACTTGGTCTGTAGCAGCAGTGCAAGTTAGAAAACATGAAAAATAATCTAAATCTGATATCAAGACCAAGTTATTTACAAATGAAGTTGCTTTGTGGCTCGTCACAATGAGACCTGTCAGATTTTTTTATCATAGGCACAGAAAGTCAGACATAATTAAATTTATAGGCAGGTTTTTTTTATATATATACAGTAGTTTTTGATCGGGGAAATGTTTTACCTCCAGTATAATGCCGATGGATGGTAAGAATTCCTTTTTTGATGAATAGCTGTTTTCTGTTCAGATATTCTCTCTCAATCTTGTATATTTTAATAGCACAAGTAAAGCATATTTACAAGATTTTTTTATATTTATTTTTTTATGTGAATAAATATCTTACCACAAACGTGTTTGTGTGAATGACTAAAAGGGATCAAAAGTGATTTTGATTTTTTTTTTAATTTGTTTTGTTAAAAAAATTTCTAGAAAACAGCATAAACCCTTGACAGGGTTTACCTGACAATCTTGTATATTTTAATAGCACAAGTAAAGCATATTTACAAGATTTTTTTATATTTATTTTTTTATGTGAATAAATATCTTACCACAAACGTGTTTGTGTGAATGACTAAAAGGGATCAAAAGTGATTTTAATTTTTTTTTAAATTTGTTTTGTTAAAAAAATTTCTAGAAAACAGCATAAACCCTTGACAGGGTTTACCTGACAAGTTCCAACACTGACCTTACYGATACTACACTAAGTGACACTATTGGAAAAGGGGCAAAAATGACATGATTACTTGTAATGCTGAGAAATAGCACATGCTTGTTTGTACAAATGGTGACGAAAACGGCGATAAAGCAGAGAAAAAATAGTGTAACATAAGAAATTAGTTAAATATTGGACTTTATGATTGTGGATTTTCTGTTTTTATGCAAACACACCAATAGTATATTCAATAACTTGAATTTTTCATCTAATTGTCATTCAATTAAAAGTAAATTCAATTTAAAAAATTGTTTTTCCCCCCATTTATTTGCTTTAGAGCTTAGCTTAAATCCAAAAATTAACAAATGATACCAAAAAGGTGTGTAACTAAAACGATAAACAGTGAATCTCTTGTATTTCTGTTTTTATTACTATTTAAAACACTTTTRGGCATTAACACAACTTACATCAGGCGTGGCGGACCTTTTTTTTACTTTTGTAGTTTCTAGACGGAGCATAAAACGTGACGAACAAACATGGGTACCCGTATATTAATTCAACGGGTGAGTTTGGATGTTACAAAATATTAAAAAAATAACATAATTTAAGCTAACTTTACCTATTGAGTCAGATATTTCAACATTACTTAACAGAAATACGAAAAAAATGAATGCGTAGTTAGGTTATTAGTGCTTGTTTACATCATGCCTGTTCTTCCACAGATTCTTCGGTGGACTGGAAGCAATGCCACCAGCTCAACTTTCAGTCCTGGCTACTTCAAAAGATACAACTTGTTGTTTAAATGCACCGGGTGCAGATTTTTATCCTCCAACGACCAGACCGCTTCAGTCAACCAAACCATTTCTCCCGCAAAACTCGAGTTGTCCGTCGGCTCACTGGTCGATATGGGATTCACAGACGCACAGGCCAAGCATTTGTACGACTCTGTGTCCGGTGTCATGGGAGGAAAAGCTGCCAAACAAGTTTTACCAACACTCGCAGCTTTGTTCGTCCTGGGCCTCAACCCCAGCAGCGTGACGTGTGTTCTGGACAAGTGTCCTGAGCTTTACACTGTTAAAGAAGCACAGCTTCAGCAGCGCATCGTCCACCTGCGGAAGCTAGGTCTGGTTGAAGGTGAGGTCTTTCTCAGATTAGAAGACAATGTATTATTGGTTTAAAAGTGAGCATGTGTATCAAACTTGTGCTCTCTCTCTCTCTCCCCCTCCCTCCCTGCATGAAATCATAGGGAGTCTTCAGAGGGTGGTGGTCTACTGCCCAAAGATCCTGACTGTTCCTGTGAAATCGATACAAAATGCTGTGCAGTTTCTCAGAGACAAGTGTATGTTTACCACCCAGCAGATCACAGACATCCTCAGAGAAAGTCCAGCTGTAGTTCTGGAGGATCAAGATCAGCTGGAGTACAAGTTTCAGGTCAGCAAGCCAAGTGATCAATTAAAATTTTTGCGTTAATAGTTCTTGYTTTGGTTGTTGATTTGTCAAAAAGCAAGAGAGGATTTCAACAATTACTGAATGGCATCAATATGTTTTGCACTCTGAGAAATATTTAAACATGTCTGTGTTTTTGCCGACATAGACATTAAACCTTAGTGTTTACTGCAGGTGTATTTTAAATAGAAGTGCAAGTAATTATATTTAGTAGTTCAAAAAGTGTGCATCGTCTCTGTGAAGACTTCATCTTTACAAAAACGACATTATCCTAACTTTAGCAAACCTTTAAAGCATGAAGCACTCTGTAAATATCATATTGCCCAGTGAGGAGTTGTTTCCATGGCTGCTATGTAAYGTTCACACACATGATCTGAATTTATAGAGCAAGTCAGTTCAGATTTATAGACTTCCCCAAAACACGATTAAACATTGTTACCAAAGATGGTATCATAAAAGTCCACAGTCAACAACTTGTCTTGTTTAATTTATTAATACAAACTTTCATTGTGTTGTGGTGTCTGATCGGGCTTACCACCAAAACGTAAGGCAGTACAGACTTGTGTAGCAAAGAATTTTAATGATGCAATTAAAGAATTTGTATGGAGTTTGGAACACCAACTCCGCCTGGTGTGTGTTTGAATAGGTCACAGCGTGTAAACGTGGCTCTGCTTGTTTCTCAGAGGGAACTGTAAACTCTTGTCTCTACAGTACGTCTACTTCAGAATGGGCGTCAAACAGGAGGAGATGTTGAAGTGCAAGCTGTTCCGTCACACTCTGGAGGACGTGCGGAACCGGCACACGTTCCTGGAGCGACGTGGCTTGTACCAAACCCCGGACAAGAAAGGACAAACTTCCATCGTCAACCCCAAACTGAACAGCGTCCTTAACGTGGACCAGGACAAGTTCCTAAAAAGTGTCGCACGGGCGTCCGCGGAAGAGTTCGACGTTTTTCAGAGACTGCTGGCGAGAGAGTGGAGGGAGGAGCGGTTTAAACACAGTATTGAAGCTCATCACGATGATGAAGATTGCAGTGATGATGATTATGAAGAGGAGGAGGAAGAAGAAGAGGAAGAGGAGGAGGAGTTTGAAAGAAAAAGTGGATATCAGAAAGGGAAAAAGAAACATGGCTCTAAAAGAACATAATTATAATATGCGCTATTAGAGAAAAGAAAGTATCCACAGCCTCAATTCTGGTAAAAAAAAAAGAAGAAGAAGAAGAAGAAAAAAACAAATTTGCAAATAGGCCAGCAGCGTCCTTTTTCGACTGCGAAAATCAAAATAAAGTGGTTGTGTATTTGGACGGTCTTGCCTTCAGCTTTATTTCCGCCTTACACCGGCTTATGTCGCCTAGCAATCGTGGTGACAGAAGAAATACAGAAGCAAAAATAAGCTAAAATGAGCAAAATATTAATGTTATTAATATTATAAATTAACAAAATTAGCTTAGAGGCTGTACTTAAAGGACCTGCCGTACAAGCTTGTTTATTTCTGACGAATAATATTAATAAAACATTTTCATGCCAATGACAAAAGCCTAGAAACACAACCGCTTTAAACTTTCAATTTTTTGTACTGCTAGACTTTAAAACAAAACTGTTCTCGTGTCTCATTCCGCCTCTTGCTTCATCTGCCATTACAAGCAAAAAAAAATTTTTTTAAATAAATCTCCTGGTTGGCCTGCAATGCAKCTTGGGATACGGTGGACTGCGAAGGATCCACTGGACCCGCTCCTTAAATCGAGGAAAAAGGAGGACATATTTGTGGGCTGCAACTGGAGGAGACACTGAATTTGGGACAGCCTTCGGCGCGGTGCAGTGACAAGCAGCCCACAAATTTGGCCTTGAAGGATGCAGCCCCTGAATTTGGACATGACCATAAGTTTTCCTTTAATTCTCACATAGCAGTTGTTCAAATAAAAAATAGGACCAWTTTAAAGGGGCAATATTATGTGTTTCTCAGGCATACATTTAAATACTATACCATAATARAGTATCTATGTCACCTTAAACTGTTATTAAAACGCTGTTTTTATGTTTAAATAGAAAATAAACTTATCTTCTATCACTTCCTTTTCTAAACGCCTTGAAATTGGCCTCTGTCTCTTTAAGAACCACCTTCCGCTTCTGTTCCACCCATTTCGGGGGGGGGAGGGGGTCGCATGTGCGCTATGATGCAGTTTACTTGGCATCTGAAAATACATTTCTTCAGAGGTATTTTGAATCTGAAAAGAGCTTCACTGAGTGAGAAGCAGCAGACAGTTTCACTTTCAGTTTCACTCGTGTGTTACTGCCGAGAGCCTGCAGGAGTCATGAGCTGGGTGTGGGGGGTAGGGATGTGTGCTCTGTGATAAGGAAGCTCGACCTCGCTGCAGCACCGACCCCGCCCCTTACTGTTTGCTGCAGTGAGGTGAACTTGGGAAGCTCGGCTTTGAGACACAGCCCAGGGGCGTTTCTGGTCCCCACCTGTCGTTTTGCTCCTCAGCATGGCCTAAAACACTGCAGGATTTCTCAAACATGCATGAATGAGTCAAAGCAAGGCTTTGGGCATGTTTTTTAATGAGAGTAGAACATTATAACGAAATAAAACTCAAAAAAGTTGATTTTACATGAGATTGCCCCTTTAAAGAAAAATATTCAGCCTCTTAAAGAGGCTCTTTTTGAACAGTCTTCTTACCAACTTATTACATATTAACCTAATTAGTTGTAAAATGCTCCTATTCAGACCTTTTTCCACTGCATTTTGTTTCTCTTGTCTGAACTTTTTGGAGATATGTTGCTACTGTTTAATTCAAAATGACCTTATTTTTTTTCCCAAAGAATATTCAAATTTCTAGTTTACACATTTGATCTATTTACTATGTCCCGTTGTGAATAAAACAAAAAAATTTAACATCCCAAGTTTTTCAAAATTAAAGCTGTAATAAAATCACTGAAATGCTTTCATTTAAGCTGTTTTTCAACACTGAGTATATCAGTACGTACTAATGAGCACTATCTGAATCAAACACGTAGTTCTATCTTTTCATCTATGTATGAACCTCCTGATGTGGAAGTAGCTAATGTGTTTATCTAAGTGGCGTCAATGGGATTTAAGGTGGGACGACGTTAGTGAGAGCTCACATCAACACATGCAAACTATATAAACCATGAGTAGAGTCTGAACAATGCAGTCCACAGTCCAAACTTTTCTGCTTCCTGAAAGCATTTCCTAACTCTCCTAATTTTTTTTCCTCAGGACAAACACAAAAAGACTTTAAATCAGAGTCAAAGCTTAAAGCAAGAAAGCTAAAAGACGGCAGCACGGCGAGCTTTTAAAAGCACGGAGAGCTCCACCTTGTTACTATGAGACAGCCAAGTAGCCGCAGCTTTCTGCATCCAGCTCTTATCGCTGAGTCAACAAAGAGGGCATCGGGTAAAAACAGCCACTGAGACAAGTTGAGTGACGGCCATCGATTTTTTTTGCAAAACAACACTTTACATCGTAGACGTCAGGTAAGATCAATTTGCTCGATCAGTAATTTTATCAGTTATTACAAAGATTAAAGGACTTTTAATATTCATTTTCTACATTTTCAAAAAGTTAAAGCTCTATCTTACAAAGAAACTATGTTGTGAACACTCTAATGTGTTTTATGCTTGCACAGCTTCCCTTTAAATTTAGCTTAAAAATACCCCACATAGTTTATAAATGTCACATTACAGGTGCTGTTAGACAAGTGTGTTCAGTCACTACTTTACTCATTTGCATATTTTTTTAATTTGCATGTTTTTTCTTGGAAAATACAAATTAAAGAGACCCTCGACTGTTGTTCAGATTTGAATTCTGGCAGCACAGAACAGGCTTCTCATTTTAATAATGAGCTGCAGTAAAAAGTTTTGTCAACTGAATTGCTGTAAAATGACCTATTTAAAAGCTACCGACGTATAGTTATGTCTCGTTTCATACGAGTTTGTATGCAATGAATGTAACAGCTGCTATGAGATTYTGTAAAAAGAATAAATTATGTCAGGAATGAGTATAAAAACTGTCAGAGAATCAATCATGAGTTCCAAAACAAAGCTCAACGTATAAATGCAAAGGACTAGGAGCTGATAATACCGGTGATGAATGTGCATCACCTTTTGAACTCTCAGGCAGATTTTCATCAGGAACTCACCGTTCAACCATCAATCAGCCACATCTGGCTCAAGGGTTTGTTGGAAAACCATAGTCTGCCACTCATTTCTGTAGAACACAAGACCTCTGTGCAGAAAGTTCATCTGAGAGGGACAGAACAATCCTCGAGCCAAGCTCTGGCTAAATAATTTAAAATCTAATGTTTGGGATGACTTAAGACTAAATCAGTGCTGATAACTTTTTGCATTTGTGAAAATACCATTAATGCAGATCTTTACTGCAACAAACATGTCCTCATCTCAAACAATTCAGAAGCAAGGTATCCATTTTGTAGAATTGCCATGTGCTGACTTTTTTTTTCCCCGTCGGCGTCTGCGATTAGTTGCATGAAAAACAAATGTCTCATATTTGTGCACTGGACCGCGTGAGACCTACATTTTGAAGGTGGTGCGTTTAGCTCATGGTAATTTATGATGTTTTTCTTTCACAGGACATCGCTGGAGGAAGTAGAGAGCTCATCATAAAAAGCACCTGCCACTCCATCTGTGATTCCTCCCTAAACTCAAAACCACAATGGCTTCATCTATACTGATTTCAAACTTCACACAGGAGTGGGTCAAGACCATGAAGTGGTGGCACCTGGAGTTTTTCTGCATCCCCACTGTTATCATCACTTTAGCCACCTTTCTCGTCAACCCTGTCCTCCTGACGTGTATTTTTCTGTCCCGCTCCCTGCGTCAGGAGACCCGCTACTTGCTGGTGGCCAACACCCTGACGGCGGACATGATTTTCCTCGTCCTCAATCTGGTCACGCTGATCGGCAACGCCGCGGGCGCTCAGATGCCTTGGGTCGTTTGTGAGCTCCTGACGGCGGTCCTCGTCACGGCTTACAGCTGCGCCATCCTCACCGTCACCGTGATGGTGGTCGACACCTTCGCCGCCGTCCGCTGGCCCCTCCRTTACCACGACTTTCTTTCGCCTGCCCGCACCTACTGCGTCTTGGTYGGGCTGTGGGTGCTGGCAGCCATTTACCCTTTCACCTTGCTGATCATCATGAAGGAAAGCCGGGGAAGTTCTGGCGAGAAAGTGCCCGTTTGCCTGGCTCTCATCTCCCTGGGTTTTCTTCAGGTCAAACACGTCGGGGCGAACTACTTGTACTTCTTCGTGTCAGCTCTCATCTGCACCTTCCTCATTTTCTACTGCTACATTCGACTCTACATGGTCACAAGGACGCAGGGGATCTGGCACAACCGATTCTCCAGGGCTCGGGTTACCGTGCTGGCTCACGGGGTTCTTCTCCTGCTTTACTTTGCCCCCGGATTTGTTTTCACTCTGGAGCTCTTTGTGTTCCAGCGAGAAGATGTAAGTCAGGATGTCCGAGTGTGGATCAGCACGGTCAACGCTTGCGTTTTYATGTTGCTGCCCCGTGCTTTTGCACCTTACCTGTATGGCCTAAGGTACAGGGAGATTGCYGAATCTTTAATTACGCTTTGGCATCGTCACAAGAGACTCAGCCAGACCACCTTATCATGAGGACTTCTAAAAACTGACAGCTATTCATACCTGACCTGTCGTCATTAAAGATGCGCTGTAGTGGAACTATTTAGTTTGACATCCTTTTTTTGTGACTATAGCTACTATTATGGATTTTCCAGGCACACAGTTCAATTCTTTACCACAATCAAGTAACTATGTTACCTTCAGTTGTTATAAAATGCTGTATACAGCGGGTAAAATGAGTATTGAACACGTCAMCATTTTTCTCAGTAAATATATTACTAGAGGTRCTAATGACATGAAATTTTCACCAGATGTTGGTAACAACCCAAGTGATCCATACATACAAAGAAATCAAACCAYAAATGTCCAGAAATGAAGTTATTTGTAATAATGTGGAATGGCACAGGGAAAAAGTATTGAACACACTTACTGAAATTTATCTAATAYTTTGTACAAAAGCCTTTGTTGTCAATGACAGCTTCAAGATGCCTCCTGTGTGGAGAAACTAGTGGCATGCATTGCTCAGGTGKGATTTTGGCCCATTCTTCCACAAACAGTCTTCAAATCTTGAAGGTTTCGTGGACCTCTTCTATGAACTCTGATCTTTAGTTCTTTCCATAGATTTTCTGTTGGATTCAGGTCAGGTGATTGGCTGGGCCATTCCAGCAGCTTTAGTTTCTTTCTCTGAAACCAACTGAGAGTTTCCTTGRCTTTGTGTTTGGGCTCATTGTCTTGCTGAAATGTCCAGCCACGTTTCATCTTCATCATCCTGGTAGATGGAAGCAGATTTTTATCAAGAATGTCTCTGTACATTTTTCCACTCATCCTTCCTTCAATTATTTGAAGTTTGCCAGTACCATATGCTGAAAAACAGHCCCACACCATGATGTTCCCACCTCCAAACTTCACTGTTGGTATGGTGTTTTTGGGCTGATGTGCAGTGCCATTTGACCTCCAAACAGGATGTGTATTCTGGCAACCAAACAGTTCAATGTTGGTCTCATCTGACCAGACTAAATTCTCCCAGTATTACACAGGCTTGTCTAAATGTTGTGCAGCAAACTTTAAAGGAGCTTCAACATGCTGTTTCTTCAGCAGTGGAGTCTTGCGTGGTGAGCGTGCATACAGGCCATGGTGGTTCAGTGCATTACTTATTGTTTTCTTTGAAACAATCGTACCTGCTAATTCCAGGTCTTTCTGAAGCTCTCCACAAGTGGTCCTTGGCTCTTGGACAACTCTTCTGATAATTCTTTTCACTCCTCTGTCAGAAATCTTGTGAGGAGCACCTGGTCGTGGTCGGTTTATGGTGAAATGATGTTCTTTCCACCTCTGAATTATGGCCCCAACAGTGCTCACTGGAACCTTCAGAAGTTTAGACATTCTTCTGTAACCGATGCCATCATTATGCTTTGCAACAATAAGGTTGTGAAGGTCTTGAGAGAGCTCTTTACTTTTACCCATCATCAGATGTTTCTTGTGTGATACCTGGCCATCATTTGGGACTGAACCAGCTGAAATTAATTTGCACTGACAAGGGGCAGGCTTGCTTTCTAATTACTGAGAGAGTTCAGCTGGTATCTTGGCTTTCCATGCCTTTTTACACCTCCCTTTCTTCATGTGTTCAACACTTTTTCCCTGTGCCATTCCACATTATTACAAATAACTTCATTTCTGGACATTTATGGTTTGATTTCTTTGTATGTATGGATCACTTGGGTTGTTACCGACATCTGGTGAAAATTTCATGTCGTTAGCACCTCTAGTAATATATTTACTGAGAAAAATGGTGATGTGTTCAATACTTATTTTACCCACTGTATATCAAAATTAAATATGACWTTGCATCATAGCCTATTTAAACTCCTCAAAATTGGCCTGTCTCTTTTTGAACCTCCTACCGTTTCCACACTCCCACTTCAGCACATCTTTACAACAATGCTTCATGCTGTTTCCAACCATTTGTAGGTGCGTTGTAAGAGAGTAGCACCAAAAGGTACATTTCCTTGATTTTTTTTATTTGAAAAGGACAGGATTGAGAAGTAGTTAGTATCACAAGCTCAACAGACATGCAGTTCCACSAAGTCTGGGAGGGGAGCTTGACTGCAGACTGAGTTCCAGGGAGGAGCTTTGGGTAAACAGGCGGTGCTTTGTACCAGAAAGCATTTAGCAGCTTTACCTGGCTACAAGAGATCCAAGGATTTTTCAAACATACATGAAGGAGYCAAAGCAACACTCTTGACGTGTTTTTGATGAGGCTTTGGTCATCTTTGTCAGCCTTTAATGGTTTTACCTTGTTTTACAATATGAGGTACTTTTTTCAAAATCTTTTTTTTCAAAATCTTACTGACAAATAACAAACCCAATAACATTTTAGAGTTTAATGTTTAGATGAAAAAGTGCACAGAAGCTRTATGGATGGTAGGGCTGTTGCCTATATTGCCTTATGTTATGCATGCATTTGTAATTGTTTCATGCCATRATTACAGACATGTACTTGAAAATATAAATAAAACACCCCTGCTCCTTGCGTATGTCACACTGGTTTGTTTCATTATGGTGATCCCTGCACTGAGAGTCACCTTGTTTCTAAACTAACAAAAAGTAAAATAAAAAAAAACATAACTTTTTTTTTTTCTAAAAATATGCAGCTCTTTTTACTGTGTTGGTCAAAGCCATGTGAAACCTGTCACTGAGCTGCAGTTTTATGGCCATAAGCACTCCACTTTATTTGATTTCAAGGCCTTGTTTGGGTAAAACTGGATGTGTACAGAGATTGTTTACATGGCAGTTAAAGGGGRAGATGAGTGATGAATGATGGCATCCTGGCTGTAGAGTGCATTTTTTTTTTTTATTGATAGCATAGCCCAACAGTAGAGGGAGACATTTGCCTGTCAAAAGGGGCTGCACCGCTGACATTTCATGTTTCAGAAGTAGGGTTGGGCAATATTGACAAAAAAAAAAATCACAATTAATTGAGGTATTTAGCCAATAACAATTAATTTGACGATAAATCCCCTGGAGTCCCTGGACACCCTTGTGTCCTCATCACATGACCAATTTAGTGGGAAAGATTTGCTCTTCATAAAAATCTGTTCCAAATTTTGTCAAAATTACAGACTTCAAGCTACACATCAAATTTTAAATTGTGTTGATAAATAAATTACAGAACTTTTTTAAATGTTCATCATATTTGAAGCAGAGGAGCACYGAGCGGACTCTGCCTGGTGGCATTAACCGTATCAATCGTCAAGTGCCAAATAATAATCGATTAATGTTTTTCTGACGATTAATTGCACACGATATGATTATGCCCAACCCTATTCAGAAGTGCTGTGTATATATTTATATATAGCCTTTGTTGCATTTAGCAKGTGCTTGGTGTCCAAAATATAACAGTATGATTTGCTCATGATTTATTTCTGTTAATTGATTTTGGTTATTGATCTCATAGGAGTGACTTGAGTGTCTCTGTGGATCTTCGAAAAGGTGTTATTTAATGCTATTTAGACCAGAGGTTCTCAAACTCGGGTCCCAGGACCCCCAGGGGTCTGCAAGAGGTATATTGGGGGTCCTCAAAAAATTTCACGAAACTGTTAATTTGGTTTTTATTTTATTTTTTTAAATGTAAGGGGAATGTAATGGTCGAGCCGGAAAAGGGTAGAGTGCCTTCTACGGGTCAGGGGGGGGTCGTCCTGCCTCAAGTGGAGGAGTTTAAGTATCTGGAGATCTTGTTCACAAATGGGGGAAGAAGGGAGCGGGAGGTCGACAGGCGGATTGGCGCAGCGTCTGCTGTAAAGCGGGTGCTGTACCGGTCCGTCGTGGTGAAGAGAGAGCTGAGTCAAGAAGCGAAGCTCTCGATTTACCGGTCGATCTACGTTCCTACCGTCATCTATGGTCATGAGCTTTGGGTCATGACCGAAAGAACGAGGTCCCGGATACAAGCGGCCGAAATGGGTTTCCTCCGCACGGTGTCTGGGCTCTCTCTTAGAGATAGGGTGAGAAGCTCGGTCATCCGGGAGGGACTCAGAGTAGAGCTGCTGCTCCTCCACGTCGAGAGGAGCCAGTTGAGGTGGCTCGGGCATCTGGTAAGGATGCCTCCTGGACGCCTCCCTGGTGAGGTGTTCCGGGCACGTCCCAACGGGAGGAGGCCCCRAGGAAGACCCAGGACACGCTGGAGGGACTATGTCTCTCAGCTGGCCTGGGAACGCCTTGGAGTTCCCCCGGAGGAGCTGGAAGAAGTGGCTGGGGAGAGGGAGGTCTGGGCCTCCCTTCTGAAGCTGCTGCCCCCGCGAMCCGACCCCGGATAGGCGGAAGAAAATGGATGGATGGATGGATGGATGGATGGATGGATGGATGGATGTAAGGGGAACAATGAACTGATAAAAACAAACAACATAAACTAAGTTTGAACATTGTATTTTACACTTGGCGCCCCATAATTTAGGGGTTGAAATGACAGTAAATTATCTTTTAAAACAACATGGAGTTTATGAGGGGTCCCCTGGAGAATTTTTTTCCCCTTGTAAGGGGTCCGCAGACCTAAAACGTTTGAGTTTCCCTGATTTAGACACTTGACAGTGGATGTGAATTTGGCACAAATAAGGATGTGTACAACTTCTGAAGCACACAAATGTACTTCTAATCAGGCTATAATGTGTAAAGAATACATTTATCCCACTGAGGCAGCATGTGGCTCGAAATAACTGATGACACTGCAGGCTCTGGCTCTGTTTTGTAACAGTATTAGGAACTTGACATCCTTTGTTCCGACTAAGCTCCTCCTTCCTCCTCACCTGAAAACAAAACAAAAAATAAAGTAAAATAAAAACTGGGAAGGGAACTGCGTTTAAAACTACGTTATCACTTTGAGCATTTTATTGGCCGTTTTACTCGCCTTTAAGTAACTAAATACGTCTGTAAGCTGTGTTTTTTTTTTTCGTTTATAAACTCTTCAATAAAGTTGGCCAACAACTTGTTTTTAGTATTGCGATAAGGTATCTGACATCTACAAGTTTATACAGACTAACTCTATCACCTTATTTTCTTCTATTGCGCTAACTTCTCAGAACTGTTTTTCTAATAAAAGTGTCGTTTGTTTGCAAACAAAGGGAAGCCACGTGGAGATGAAAAGCCCACTGGGAAATGTCGTTTTCTAGATSAGCAATCGTAAGCGACACAACCGTTGAAGACTCTGCTACCCATAATGCATTGAAGCACACTGCGGCCCTGTGTGGGCGGGCCTTCCGTTAGACTGACAAGTATATATAGATTCTGTGTTTACAACAAAGTCAGCTTGTCTTTGTTTGTTGTCTTCGTTACAAGTCAAAATGTTCCGACAGAGAAGCAGCCTATCTAATACTTCTTAATTGTTAGATTGAAAATATTGGGAAAGACTAAAGGTTGTTGCTAAAAAAAAAAAATCAGGAAGCAAAGTTGTTTTTTTATTTTTTATTTTTTATTTTTTTTATTTTTTTCTTTTTCTTCACTTTTACTTCAAGAATAAGCCTCATCTGGACACACATCTGATAAAGGTAACAGCTTTTCGTTCTTTAAATACAGGTGTTCAAAGCATTTAATGTAAGCTTAAGTTTTTTTTAAATGTAACTTGACATGTAGCTTGCTAACTTTTTCAGGCGCGAGCGAAGCTTTCCAGGTCTGTGGCACGAGGCAAGTTTGCTTTTGTCTCACCGAGACTCATAAATCATCTATTTCCTTCTGTGTTCATATTCCTGAATATATTATACTCGGTTATTTTGGGGGGTGAATACAACAATGTTGTTAGATAACTTTAGCCTTTCTTCTACATATTATTAAACATGTCACACTTATCAAATTTCCCAAAACTTTATTGATAATAACAAAGTGCATAACAGTTAAAACACATTTATTTCGTGAAAAATAAATTTCACTTCATGATATTTTATTGTTATCGCATTTGTTTGTTACTGACAATAGCTTATCAAAGTAAATGTCACACACATCTAGCTAAACCTGTATTTATAATCTGTTTTACTTCTGTGACCTACTGCTTCTGGCGTATAAAGGCACGTGAATGGGCTGAGTCTTTTAAGTTACAAACAACAAGAGAGATGTGACCTCACAGGAACATAGGCCATACTTGTTATCAAACTTAAAAAGAGTCAAAATGGCAACAGGCCAAAAAGGAAAAATCCTTCTCAAACTGATGAAATAACACTTGGGAACCTAATTATTAAATGCAGGTTTTAGGGGACATAATCCAGATAAAGAAAATGGATGGATGGATGGGTAAAGGGCAGCATTTAAGGCAACAGGTAAAATTAAACTAAAAAAGAAGTCACTTGAGGTTATATCAGTAGCTTTGTCTTCATACCTGTTCCAGTACTCATTATGCAGTATCTAATAGCATCCCTGCCTCAGTCTCTTTGAAAACAAACCTGACTGACATGTAAGTTCGTCCTCTAACCGTTGCTCAACCTCTTCCCGCCTCTGCCTCTTTGTCATCCTCTAGTCTCATGCGATCCATTGTGCTGCAGGGCACAACTGTTTCACAGCCGTGTTTAGCTTGCTTCAGGAAGTGCCATCCAAATTTATGTGCAGTGCATATTTAACTCCTCAAAGCTCACTTTACTTTAAATGTAAAGCAGCTCTTTTATTTTTCATAACTGTGAAACATTTACTTGTGTGGTTCATGTATTTCCCTACGAAGTACAGTGCTTTGTTTCTCTGCTCTGTAAATGCTTTATTTTTTGCATGTGGCAACTTTAAATTGCGCTGTGTTAATCCAGTTAGGTTGTTGTTTTTATGCTTATTTTCACTGTTTACTCCTGTTCCTGATCAGAATATTTTTTTTATTTAATTCTATTTCGTTTTTTCTTTTCCTTTTTTTTTCTTTTTTAGATTATACAGAAGTTAAAGAGGGTCTAAAGTAAAAGTTGCAGCCATGGTGTTGATTCTTGGCCGAAGGATGAACAGTGGGGACTCTGGGATCAGAGACTCACCAGCTGTCAAACGCAAGGTGGTCTCACAGACAGTTTTTATTTTTTTGGTTTCTTGAAGGATCATCTGTTCAAATAACATTTTATTTATTTGTTTATTCTCAAGGTGTTTGAGGTTGAATCCAAAACCCTAAGCGGTCAGGATGTCTTGGATTTCTGCTGTGGTTCGTCCCATTCAGACGGCATCCTGCAGGTGTTCAATGAATTCCGTGACTCTCGACTTTTCACCGATGTGGTCATCAGCGTGCAGGGCCACGAGTTCCACTGCCACCGGGCCGTTCTCTCTGCCTGTTCATCCTACTTCAGAGCCATGTTCTGCAATGATCACCGCGAGAGCCGCGAGATGCTAGTTGAGATCAATGGCATTCTAGCTGAGGCCATGGACTCCTTGCTCACGTTTATTTACACCGGTCGTGCCAAGATCACCACAGAGAACGTCCAGTTCCTCTTTGAAGCCTCCAGCCTCTTCCAGATCAACACGCTGCGGGATGCTTGCGCCAAATTCCTGGAGGACCAGCTGGACCCGTGCAACTGCCTGGGCATCCAGCGTTTTGCCGAAGCCCACTCTCTGAAGCAGCTGGTCAGCCGCTGCCGCAATTTCGCCCTGGCCAACTTCTCCGAGGTGGCTCAGCATCAGGAGTTCCTTGACCTGCGCTGTGAAGAGCTGGAAGACTACATCAGCAGCGAGGATCTGTCCGTTAGCAAGGAGGAGGTTGTGTTTGAGGCGGTCATGCGGTGGGTTTACCACAACGTGGACCACAGGAGGTCCACACTGAAGGCTTTGCTGCTGCACGTTCGCATGCCCTTGCTGCATCCCAACTACTTTGTCCAGACAGTGGAACAAGACCAGATCATCCAGAATGCTCAAGAGTGCTACCAAATTCTCCATGAGGCCAGACGCTACCATGTGCTAGGAAACGAAATGATGTCATCCAGAACTCGTCCACGGAGGTAACGAAACTGTTAGCTTCTTTGGTATGAGGAAGGTGATCGGTGAAGTAGAGCTGATAACCTGTGGCAGTAGAATGACTTGTGACCGATCTTTCATGAGAAAGGAAGGTTTGGCTTGATCTGATCTGCCTGCATTTTGTCTGCGTGGAATAAAATGCTTATTCCACCTCGCTGACAGTTTCCAAGCAGTTAATCAAGTCTTTGAGCACACATTGCATAGCTAGAGGTAACAGGTTGCTAATGAACCCTGCGCTCCTGACTGTGGTGCTATTGGTGTGTGTGTGTGTGTGTGTGTGTGTGTGTGTGTGTGTGTGTGTGTGTGTGTG